AGGCCCTGAGTTCAAGTCCCAGGATTGGCCAAACAACAAAAAAAAGAATCTCCTAGGCTTTCCTGCCCTGGCTAGATTTGAACAATGATCTTCAGAGCTCAGCTTCCTGAGTAGCTAGGATTACAGGCCTGAGCCACTGATGCATGCCCCAAATCACTAGTTTGAAGATGAACTAAAGGAAAAAATTGAAACAATCCTGCTGTTCCTATTAAACTATACAACACAGTAATGAAATAGAAGATAAAAGAGAACCTTCCTTTATGAAAGTATTGCAACCATTATGACAGAACTTGAATAGGGCAGTTGGAAATTTGAAAAGCAGTCAAGGCTAAACTTAATGCCTAGGAATCTACTTCAAAAACTACTCAAGGAAGTAATTAGTGTTTACCATAGTCCTACTGAGGACAAGAAATAGGATCTGAAGGATGAGTAATTTCCAGGTAGCCTTTTTAAAGGTGTTCACTTTAAAATAATTTTTAAAATTTTATATTAATTTAATTATTTTTTCTATTTTAAGTAATTATACATGTCAATTTATATATACAATTCATCTTGATCAGCTTCACACCTCCATCATTCCAATCCCCTTTACATCTATTAAGCTAGATATAACTTAAAAACTATTATATTGAATATAGCTTAATAAACGATTATACTAATATATATTATAATATATTAAGCTATCTCTAGCTTAATAAACTATGATATTGGATATAGTTTAATAAACCTATATTGGATACTATTAGATAATATTATATCTAGCTTAATTAACTATTAAGTTTATTAGTAATCTATTAAGTTGTTAAACTTTCCTGCCTGGGCTGGCTTTAAACTGTCATCCTCAGATCTCAGCTTCCTGAGTGGTTAGGATTATAGGCTCCTAGCCCTTTTCACTTCAGTTACTTTTTAAACAGAATCTTGTGTTTTTGCCCAGGTCAGACCTTGATCCTCCTACTTATGCTTCTTTTTTTTTTAATACTGGTACTAGAACTTGAACTCCATGTCATCTGGCTTAATACTGAGTATGTTTTCAAAAACACTGTATGACTCACACTTAGGAAAGAAGAAAAACAGGCTTGAGAACTAAAAATGGAACCATTTTTACTGGAGAATGGGATTGTAGAAGCGTCTGCATGTCTGCATGAGACATCAAGAGTGTTAGCCCTAGCTGAATGCCAGTGGCTCATGCCTGCAATCTCAGGAGACTGAGATCTGAGGATTCCAGTTGAAAGCCAGCCTGGGTAGACAAATACAAGAGACTCATCTCCAGTTAATGAGCAAAAAGCCAGAAGCAGAGTTGTGGCTCCAGTGGTAGAGCACTTATCTTGAGTGAAAAAGCTAAGGCACAGCACCAGGCCCTGAGTTCAAG